CCAACCCCCCATACCCCCCCCCATCCCCAACAGTTTCTCAGCGGATTTGGGCTGTACTCAGCAAGCGCAGTAAGCGCAGTACAGCCCCCAACTCAGATTTGGAAAAACATCAGTGGATGGCTGTTTTGTGACTGGTCGGCCCTCTACTGGTCCGCTGCAAAACGGTCAGCGGTCGGCAGATATGCAACCCTGCATAAGAGTAAAAAAACCGACTTCCTACTACCAGCTTGCTTGCCTATTGTCGTTGAATATCTTATTTGTGCACTGGTTAGCACACATTGTAGTGAAAAAGGTCTGCCCAACACACCCATTTCTGAGTGCGTTGGTGTGCCTGTCCATTGTGTATGGATGCACATTCGCAGTAAACACAATATCCTAGAAAGTTGGAAGCTCAGGAATTGCAGATATCGGATATCCACAATCAGTCCTCCAGGGGCATCCATCAAAATTAGTAACGATAGTACATGGCCACTGCGCAAGGATGACACACATATATCAAGAAATGATCCAAACCAGGGTAGTTCTGGCGCCTACCGTAGGCGGTAGGCGTGCCTGCCAGTCAGGCCGACCCATAGGCGGACCCGTCAGCGGTCAGCAGACTGCATTGCAACTTTTATTTTTTTTCTGATTACATGGTCGCGCGCGGCTTGAGGAAAGCAGCCCAAATCCACAGCATTTTTTGGGGGCGGGGGGGGGGGTTATAGGGGAGGCATAGGGGGGGTATAGGGGGAGGCATAGGGGAGGAATAGGGGGAGGCTTAGGGGGGGGATAGGGGGGTTGTAGGGGGTTGCAGGGGGTTAAGGGGGGGGGTATGAGGGTGTTAGGAAGCGGTATGGGGGTCTAGGAGGGGTGTATGGGGGTCTTTGGGGGTGTTTGGGGGGGCCTATGAGGGTGTTGATGGGGTTATTTGGGGTTCTGAACCCAATTTTTATTTTATTCTTTTTATTTTTATTTTTTTGTGGGGTGCCGACCGACCCCCAACCGTTAGGTGCCGACCAGTCCGACGGTCGGCTGGTCGGCACCGGCCAATCCAGGGGCGCCGACCATCGGCGTGACTACGCTGATCCAAACTCAAAAGGAAAAAAACAAAAAAGACAAAAAAGGTATCCACCATCCAACTGGTGACCCTCAGCAAGATTAACTTTTGTAGTATGCATACCTCGAGCTGCTCGTGAAGTTTCTTCTGAACATTCAAGTGATTCTTCAAGTCTTGAGTTTGACATTTTCTGCTGCACACGCCATCACCACGACCATCCAGTGACTTCAAAAATTAGGTCGACAGCTGCAAACCATCACATTTTCTGCCTGCACTACCTCCTCTTCTTCGTCTCCTTGTCGTCACCATCCTCCTCCTTCGCTGCAAACCATCACGTTTCGCACCTGCACGACCTCTTCTTCTTCTCCTTGCCATCACATATCCTCCTCCTCCTCCTTGCTGCTCCTACCACAACGGTAGCAACAACAACAGCTACCACTAGGTACCACTACAACAACTACTACCGAGTACTACTACTAGTACTACTGCTACTGCAGGTGGGCAGGGGAACCAGCAAGAAGATGATTTGGTGTGCACAAAGTTTGCCTGAGAATTTGAGGACAAGCCGGAAGTGAGACGATGATTAGCACACCACTCGACTGATGGTCGAGGATGTTAACCCCCCACTACCTCTGTCACTCTTGGGAAAAATGGGAAAATTCAAAACTGGCAGTTTTCCCGAACTTTTCGGGGGTTGGACGAGGCTCGGCAGTTGGGCCTTGTGGGCCCCTTCGAAAAACAAAAGATCCTGTCGGGGAAGCAATTGCACCAAGTTGTGCTCACACCAAAACTCACACGTTTGTATCAAAATGCTATAGTGGCCACTTTCAGGTTTTCATTGTTTGTGTTTTTTCAACTGTTTTGTTTTCATTCTTTTTTTTTTGTTTTGGTGCCCCGCCAGGGAGGCCCGGTGCAGTCTATGGGCTGCTGACACTTTGTGGAGGAGGGCATGCCAATTGCCCACACTATTACTTTGCAGAATGTATGCACCCGCTTTCTCCGCCCCTAAGTTCAGTTTCAACTTTCAATTTTGTTTTCCCTCTTCCTTCTTTCTTGGACCTTAACACCCTTTTGCCGTAACGCCCTCCATGAGGGCATACTCGCACAACGACTTTGGGCTGGGTATCGACCAGCTATCACGTCCAAAGGGGTGTTTGTTTTTTTCTTTGATTTTCTTTTGGCTGCCAGCGGGTCGTTTATTCAACAAAGTCTGGCTGTGCTTTTTTTCTTTTTTTATCAGGAGGGTACCAGAAAAGAAACAAAACGGAATCCAGGCTCGGCAAAGCTCGGTACGCAGTGAAAATCAGGATCCGCAAAAACAGGCTCGGAGGTAGTGGTGGTTTAAGGACAAAAGAAGAGGGGAAAGGGGGGGGAGATGGGGGAAGCAGGGCGCTTGGACGTGGAAAATGGAAGCAGGGAGAAGCGAGAGGAGGCAGTAATCACCTCGGTAAAAAAAAGAAAAAAAAAAGATAGTAATTACCTTGGGTCCTGTGGTGCCGTCAACTCAGTTGCAGTCTTCCCTTTAACCTTCCCATCTCCTTTCCCGGGACTCCCTGCAGCACCAAACGATGAGCAAACAGCACCGCTGTCTTCTGCTTTTTTTTTTTGTTTGTTTGTTTGTTTGTGTGTTTGCGTGTTTGCGTGTTTATTTAATTGTTTTTGTTTGTTTGTTTTGTTCAGCAATTCATCCCCGGCCGCGGCACCCGCCCCAACCCCCAATCAAATCAAAAGGCAAAGATCAACAAGGAGATGTTAGTAATACTGCAGGTCGACCCAATCAAATGTCAGCAATTTTTTGTCAGCTTATTGTTCAAAAATGAGCTTGTATACGAAAAATGTGCTTCCAACGGCTTCGCTCCACTACTATCCATATGCATAAAAGACAAAAATTATGGCGGCGAATCTTTCCATAATGTAGCGGTATATTCATTCTCATTTTGCACAATTGGGAAGTAGTGGAGTGAGGCCCCAAATTCCAATTCTGTCCCAAATTCCAATTCTGTTAAGGCGTATGGGACCCTCATGGAGTTAAGACCCACGCAAATCACATTAACTTCTGAAACCACCGGAGGGCGTCCGTATCCTCCACCTTTCTTTTCCCTGTTTTCATTTTTGCCCTCCTCTCTCTCTCTGTGTGTCTGTGTGTGTGTGTGTGTGTGTGTGTGTGTGTGTGTGTGTGTGTGTGTGTGTGTGTGTGTTTCTGTGTCTGAATGTCTTCTGTCTTCCTTGCCTACGTTACACTACAGCTATGATGCCCAGTGCCTGTCCACTACAACGACTCCCAGCCCCACTTGCTGTCTCACTTGTCACTTGGGCACACTACTGCGGAACAGTGCTGCTGCAACAAGCATGGATGGAATGAATGCTGACAGCAACTGCTCCTGCCCACTTACATATGACAGTTCAGCTGCCCAGCCCTTGGGGCTGCAGGCCCGGCACCTGGTAGCCTGCTGCTTGGGTCTGTTGACCTTTGACGTTTCCCAGGATATTCAGTGTCATTCACTGACTTTCCTTCCTGGAACCATGGGCCGCTAACTTACCTGAGACGGGACTGGACTTAGTCGGGACTGGACTTTTCGAGACTCTTCTAACCTTCCCGGAGCGTACCTTCTTCTATCGAATAGAACTAGTACTGTAATTATAGCTACATTTCGTGCAACTTCGAGTCTAGATACAACCATAATGACTGTATGTTCCGTTCGGGCCCTCGGGGGAAGACGGTCGCTACAGGACTGTCTTTTTTCCCCCCGAATGATCTCGACTGGACCCTGCTGGATTCTTTTAGCCTCCCGGGATCCCAACTAATGCACTAACCCAGACCCAGACCCAGACCCAGACCCAGCGTATGTTTCCCACCGAACGGGCCCAAACTTTCCAGAATTCACTTCTGGGACCCCTCTCTGGATCTATGGCACCACAGTGCCGACATGCAAGTTCCCTGGCATCTGAAAAATCTGGGAAAATAATAAAAATATGCATATTTTGTAAAATACTAAAATTGCAATGCAAACGACTTTTCCCTGAGGGATCACTTCCGGAACTCCATATCTAATCGGAGAACAAAGTTGAAATGAAAAAAAAAAAGAAAAAAAAAAAGAAATAAGGTAAACTCCTTGGAACCCCAATTATAGACGATCGGCCAAGCACCAAACTAAGATTTTCGCCCATGGAACTCCTCCCCCCGAATCCCGAATCCCCCCCCTTGTACAACCATTCCCTCTCACTGTCCCCCACAAGAAGAATACCAATTGTCCCCCATCAGAAGAATACCAGTTCTAACTTCTAACCAACAAGAAGAGTACCAATTGTCCCCCATAAGAAGAAGAGTACCAATTGTCCCCCATAAGAAGAAGTGTACCAATTGTCCCCCATAAGAAGAAGAGTACCAATTGTCCCCCATAAGAAGGGTACCAATTGTCCCCCGTAAGAAGGGTACCAATTGCCCCCCATAAGAAGAAGAATACCAATTGTCCTCCATAAGAAGAGTACCAATTGTCCCCCATAAGAAGAGTACCAATTGCCCCCCCATAAGAAGAGTACCGATTGTCCCCCAAAGGGACCGGTCTCGCCTTCTACAAGAGGTCAGGGCCTCCCTCTAAAAATACCTGATCCAGCGATCCCTGATTACGGTCGCCATAGATTTCGCTTTTTTTTTTTTTGAAAGTTCAATGTGTAGTCCCTCTGCAGAGTCCGCAGGGATCATTGTTATTTTGGAGGTCAGCCTGTAATCCCTCTGCAGGGATCCCAAGACCTTTTTCAAGTTTTCCTTTTTTTTTTTTTTTTTTTTTGGTTGAAGTTCAGCCACTTCACTGTGTAAAAAATCCCTCTGCAGGGATCCCAAAACCTGCCAGTACACTAAAGGGAATTATGGAAAGACTTCTCCATCGCTGTAAAAAGAAAATTTGTTCCCCATTTCATGCTCGACTGTTCTTGCATGTTGGATATCAAGGGAAGAAAGGAGTGTGCTTTGGGGGGGAGTGTAAATGGGCTTGGGATCTTCTTTGATTTCTGGCTGAGTGGGGGAGAAGGGTCTGCTTTCCACCGTTTTCAATCTTGATACCTTCCATTTCCTTGGCCTGAACTGAAGGCCTCTGAATGAAAGATCATAGCAATCAGTCAGCCACTTTTTCCATCTGCCAGATAAACGTGTTCTCTACCATGCTTTTTTTTTTTTTTTTTTTTTTTTTTTTTTTTTTTTTTTT